TGGAATCTTCTGGATCCATTCCCAGCCGAAAATGTCGAGGTTGTCGGTAACGTAACAGCATCCTCGTCCTCGATGTTGTTTTCCGTCAGAGCTCCTCAGCACAAAATCGACCATTAGAGATCCATTTGTTGGGATTCTTGTTCCATTGGCGGCGTTAATGACCATGTTACAGTTCTGTAGTTGCGGCCTCCCAAGTATCTTCCAGCTCGATTTTGAGATCAGTGTGATCATGGCGCCAGTATCGAGTAAAAGATCCAGGGGATGTCCATTTACTTCAACTTCCAGGTGTGGTTGGTTGTTTTTGCTTAAAGCGGCCTCGATGCTTTTGATCTGGTAATTCTTTGTGCCGTAACGTCTGGTCTGTGGGCGTGACGGTGATGTTGATTCCTGTATTCCAGATCGTTTACTGTCGTGAAGCGCATTGGTTTTTTTTTGAACATCTGTTCCTGCTTTTGTCTGAAAACTCTTCTTTTCTTCCTCTTATTGACATGGTTGATCGTAGCGTTAGCATTAATCGCGTTTTCCAGCATTCTGGCGTCTTCCTTGTATGCTTTTATAAGTTGACACTCAGCAGTGAGGTCTTTGATCGTAATGTCCTCACCTTGATCTAGCTTTCTTAGTAGTCGTGTTCTGTAGTCCGCAAATTCGGCTCCCTGGAATCCTGCGACGTAGATCAGGCACTGCAGACCATCGAAGTTGATGGAGTTGAATTTGGCATCAGAACATCGTGTTCGAACAAGTGTCTCATAGCTATTGAAATCTTGGTGGTCATACTGAATCTTAAGACATTCAAATCGTCGACGAAATAATGTCTTACCAGAACCGAAAAGACGATCCATGGTGGTGATAGCTTCATCCCATGAGAGGTCTGACGGCGACTTCGGTGCAATCGAACCGCAGAAGAGCTGGTGACTGTCTTCATCCAGGCGGCTGACCAGTAGGCGAGTCTTCTCTTGTTCGCTCAGCTCCGTACAGTCGTTGTCGAAGACGTCCTTGAATCGTTTGTACCAGATATCGAACGTTCTTCCGTTTTCCGCGTCGAAATTGAACTTGTCGATGCGGCGGCACAGGAGTCGAAGATACTGTGCTTCGCAGCCGCGGGATTCGCTGCATTCCATCCGCATCTCCATCTTCTCCAAGGCACGGAGAACGGAATCCTGCATGAGCTCCAGTGTCTTCTCAACGTGCTGTTTTCCATCTGGCGATCTTGCGTCATCTGAGGTGCCAGAGATATATCTGGGCTCTTTCAGCTTTTCTCCTCCTGAGTCCTTGACTCTTCTGAATATCGTTTGCCTAGTTCTACGACCAGTTCTTGTTTAGATTTTTAGATTTATTGCACGGAAGGGATAAACTCGACCTCTCTTATCGAAGTGTTTAGTAACACATCCTCGACGTCAAGCCCGATTAACCACGAAGCATCATAAACCGGAACAGTTATTCTTTTCGACAACAGAATATCTCGGCATCTCAAAAAAAGGGAATTATGATCCAACGGCAAATGCCCTTTAATCCGGGTTTATCCTTTAATTCTAAACTGTAGGGTTTAAAAACCTCTCCTATAAGGATAGGAATTCCTTTTTCGAGAGTAGCTCGTACTCTATTTTCCTTGGCAGTGTTAAAGTACTTAAGCACAATACAAGATACCGGAAACCATTTGAAAAACTAAAACTTTCTAAAAAAAGCGCTTCTGAAGAGAAGGCATTCATTTTAGTTTTTTATTTTCTGAGGTTCGTTGCCATTTGCGGACTGCTACGGTAAAACTCTGTGCGCGCGTTCGTGCGAGGATCGCTGCGGTTCGCGTTTGTTCTCGCTGGTTTGTTCTGCTGTTCACTTTGGACCATGTCTTCTTCAATCGTATCAGCAGCAAGCTTGTCTTGCTCTTTACAGTTGGCACGGGATCCTAATGATTTTGTGTTATGTTTTTTATTACATGATCAGCAGCACTAGTTAAAAGTCATTTAGGGCCGATGAAAGTTAATGCGTAAAAGGATGAATGAACACAGCGAAACATAGCCTCAGCCTTATATCCAGAGTGACGCAAACCATTCGCTCATTGGGTCACGGTTCCTGTTCTCCGTACCAATAGCCGGTCCGTTTGGTATGTTCCGTGCCAGTTTAGTTGTGCTTCTCTTGCGTTGACTCACAACTATCCGAATGCCTCATTATCTTGATTGGGTGTAATTGATAGATTACTGGTAATTGTTCTATTTCTTTTGTCCGACATTGACCCTTATTGTGGAACGCGTCACCTTGAACTTGTTGACATTTGACATGCATATTTGATCCAGATCAGCCATTTCTTTGTTTCCGGCCATGATAGAAGTACTGGCTACATCCAACGTAATAATAAAATTAATTCTCCAATATTCAATGAAAGTATGTAGTTTGTTTTGTACACAACTGAAAATGGGCCAAACGTAGTAATAATCGCTATGTCGAAAATCCAAGGTAAATCCAAATGAAAGCAATGACAAACATTTTTGTTTTCGTAACCTTTCACATACTCACTTAACTCTTTATTTGCACAACTATGATTGTTCCCGTTCACATCAGTGAGCTTGTCCTTTCTAAGTGTATTGTATTAAATGCATTACTATTTTGCCCAGGATTCACAGTTCTGCACCCGTCCACACCGCCACTCTTTCGCTCGTCTCCTCAAAACGGTTATTTCACGTCTATAATGGACGAGGTCTGAATGGTAAGGAGCAAATCTTTACCTAGCGGAGAGTACAGACGGACTCGTTCTAACCAGCCGGACCCGATCGCGCAATCCTCCCATATCCGATAGGCAATATACCCCAGCGATCTACATGACTTCTGTCGCCGCGCAATTTCCGGTTGCGGTCCTAAGCCACCTCCGAGCAAAGGACCGTTCAGGTCCATATACGGGAAGTAACACCGAAGGAGTCCGCAAGTCAAATGCGGCAATCGAATCGGGCAAGAAAATGTTTGAGTTTCTTACGGTTTCGCAGTTTTTCTTGGTTTTTTCTAAAAGTACATGCATCGCTCAGCATCTCAAATCAATTTCCAATGAGCTCTATATTCATCGTAAGATATGCTTTCGTTGTGCAGGATCCTTTATTCTACACTCTAAAATACTCATTCTTTCCAAATGGATCTCACATTATGTCCGGGATTTACAAAGCCGAATAAGTGCAGGCAAATGTGTGAGGTCTTCATATTGCAACACTTGTTTTGGTGCAAACGAAGTAATGCACCTTGAACCCGCCTCCAATCAGAGCTGCGCAAGAAAATATTTTTTCAAATAGTATGTTGAATGGTGCGAAAGCTAAACTGGGTTCACCTGGCTACAGAGCATAGGAGTTACCTGAACAGCTACTTATGTTTGAAATACAGGTACTGTAGTGTGAAACACTGTGCAAATTACGAAAGAAGCAACTTGCTTGTGTTTTATTGCAAATGGCAATATTAAAACCAACAAATTACAAATAACATAACTAAACCATTGTCATGACACTAAGCATTTATTATGCGTTTGGGAATAATCCAATAATTATTCAGTGCTTGACATTGGCTTTTCGCCTCCAACGCTTCTTGCAGCGACCGTTCATAACCTCCCATCGTCGATGCAATAAACACGAAACAAGGACCTAAAATGGGGGAAAAGTGTAAGAATCAATTAAAGTCAAACTTAAGGAAGAGACTACCTCTGCATACGGTCTCCTGCTCCAGCGTAGCAATGCGACGAATATGGAAATATTTACGCGGATCGTCGACCAACGAACTATATCTTTGCAGCTGCTGCAATAAAAAAAAGAGCTCATTTGAAAAACCATGACTCTAGTATGGGGACTTCGGTCGGAAACATTATGAACATTCTGAAAAATGATAAACTAGCATCATAACAGGAATGAAGAATCGTTTGACCGATACAAGAAAAATTTAAATCGCCTGAATTACTCAAAAACGGACATACTATCTATTTACTAACCACTGCTATTGTGTAAAGTGAGCGCTGTGAGTTGACGGTCTCACATGAGTTACACCATGACGCCTCCACTTTCGATGCTTCGATCGCTCGCGCCAACAAATTTGAAGTTGACATTCAAAGACCTACAATGATCTTGAAAACCTTGATCAAATAGATCAAATCAAAACATTCCATAATTAGACTCAGATATTTCTGGTAAACCTGTGCCACAAGCAATCCGTAGGTATTACCCAATATGTTACGTGTTTCACTATAAGAACAACAGCGGATTTTTGTCGTCAAACTAAAACTTCGAATGCATTAGGGATCTCAGGGGAAGCCTGGTAGTGCTCGATTATAAAGTGCCCTGTGTGTGTGCGCGTGATTGAAAAGAGTCCATAACAAGACGCAGAAGTAGAGCTGACAGGAAAACCCTTTAACTACCATAACAGTCTCCTTCAATTACCAAAAGCACCCATAAAGCAAGAACGTACCTTTTTCCCTCACCTGCAAAGCGCCGCAAAACATGATCACGTGAGTCGGAGTCTATGCTCACTAACAGAAATGTAACCTGAAGAGCATCTCCAACAAGATTTCCAAATGAAACCAACCTTTTGAAGCCTTCATCGTCCAAGATTTCCATATAAAAGAATATTTCAATATAGAAGAATACTTCGGCTTTCAAATTCGCGAGATTTTGGCTTCAAGTAAAATGGAAGAGGGATTACCGGTAGCAATCTAAGTGTGATAACTCCATCTATGCTTGCGCAACGGATAACCAAATCACAGTAGTTCGATTTACTAACAGTTTCGTCATGGCTTCTTAACCTTTTTCCATTCGTGTCTCACTCTTGCGATAGCTTATTGTTATTGCGATCAGCATTTCGCTTTCTCCTGTATTCTGCCCTCTGAAAACAGTTCATCTCAAAGCGGGAGTCCATCTAGGAACCAGAGGATATCTTACCGTGTATAATGTGGCTTTCTTCAAAAGTGGTTTCATTTTTCAAAAGTGTTGACAAGCCTATTCACGTTTGCACTGACTACGGAGTATGTCTGGAAAAATAAGGGTTCAAGCCGTGCAACTCTGTTCTTGTGGGAAACTCACCATTTCTATTTTATTCCGTATGCTTTTCCTCATGTCCATACGGCTTTGGGCATCGCTAACAACATCGCTAGATGTAGAGGGCAAAGCCATTTCTTCGTGCTCTAGCATCACTGGTGGCCGCTGCTCTTCACCGAAAGCTGCATTCGTGTCTTCGAATATTTTTACGACATGTCGATGAACACATGAAATGCCAGCTCTATTGTCCAAACAGCTACACCTCCATGAGTATGGACACACATTGCACGACGGGCAATGCACATTTTTACTCAAGGATGGAGGACATATGCATCCTCCTTTGTCCTCAACTATATACTTTGCATCCGGCTTCTTTCCTTCGACCTCCCATTTCCTTATGCCTATCGACATGATTTTTTCAAATCTTTCCTGGTAATGCGCTTGGGCCATGCGATGCCTTATAGTCGTCTGCTGTGTTCGAAAAGATGCTCGCGCGAGGCGTCGACGGTCCCAAAAACGTGTCCCAATCAGGTGCCATCACCAAAGCTTATGAACGAAATCCACCTTGATCTCATTTGAATCCGCAAGGTCTTCGACAGCACGTATCAGTAGCTCTACTAAGCAATCAATCCGGGGGTTTGCGTTTCTGTGCAGAACTTCATTTTTTAAGCGCAAATGCCAGCGCTCGCTCAGCATCGTGGTGTCCATTACGGCTCCATCAACGTGGAAGGATGCCCAGCTTTTTACTCGACCTGAGAAAGCTCAAACATACTTCATGGGAACCCGATTGTCTTCATAAACTCACCAAGATAATTAGTCCTTAAGTATTGTGCCATGCTATGATGCCTTTCGACATCGGTCAACTGCCCCACAAGCAATAGCTGTTTCAGTTCCATGTTCACTTGAGCGCGGTGTTGCGGCTGAGAAAACTCGCATGACTTCCCATACATACGAGAAAAAAAATCAAGGCTTACTTCAACTAGTTCTCTAACTTTTTTTCCCAACTTTTACTGATGTGCCACCGGCAATAATGCAGCTTTGCCGCCGACAACGGGAATATTGATCGGAATCCACTATAAAAACACATCGCCTCATCGGTAACGATCCGCTTGGGATTAAACTCAGGCATCAACTTTTTGATCTCCTTGAAAAGTTTTTCAACATCTACCGTGCCCATCGTACAAGATAGCAGGAAAGCTGAAATTATAGATGGCTAATACAGATTATCTCAACCTCTAGATTCCCGGAACTAACCTGCAGGGAGGCCTCTATCTCGTTCGTCAGCAACTACAACTGTTGCTAATTTCAGGTTATACCTTGTAGCACCATGTGTGTCATCCATAGAAATGCCTCGAGAAGAATACGCTTTCAACCAATGCAATTGTAGCGGTGTGATTATAACTGAAATTGGATAAAACTGCATCTTCTCCCAAGTTATGCGCAAGCCTAGTCTCACCCATAGTGAAGCCCTTTCCACTGGGATCTTTCGGCGTTTCCAGGAGACGTATGCCATCGTCTTCATTATTTTCCGCATGCCGCAACTGAATCGACTTCAAATCATCAGCATCTCGATAACCAGGCCTGAGACCGTATTTCTTAACTATGTTTCAAAGGTCATCCTTGGTCATGAAGTACATCCTCGAGTCCTTAGCCGAAAAATCCTTCCTACACTTTCTGATGACGTAGTCCAACGAATGCTCTGAAACTTTTAATTAGCGATATTCAGGCCTGCCTCAACTACTGCTTCACCTTCCAACAATGACTTGAGATACTGCCGTTGCGAATCTGATAAGTGTAGAAGGGCCGGCTCCAGTTCGTGGCCAGCATGGCCAAATATGCTTTTACGCCCCAGTTCCATCATCGTTGAAACGAGCGTTTACGAAACATGAGCAGTGCAGAACTGCCTTCCTGGTACAACTGATTCTATGCTTACTCTTGCTAACGAACTTCCCGGAGCGATTGCATCTGCAGAAATACAAGGTTACAAAGCCTTCTATCATATGGCAAGATCAATACTACCTATAATAGAGAAGATTGCCGGACTTCGTGTTCTTGTAAAGAGATGTTACCGTTTTTTTCACAAATTTCATTGAGCCACATCTGCAAAAGTCTTTTTTGACTCTCAATCCACACTCAGCACAACCGAAGCTTTTAATAAACCAATTTCAAGAACTTTTGTAAAGGCTGCACCTCAAACTCTTTTTTGGATGCAAAATCTAGGTTGTGCACAGTATAGTCCTGTTCTTCGCCGTTTGCACCATCGTGAGTGTGTTCCTTGTTGCAGTGAAAAGCTAATTCCTCCTGGTCAAGGAACTGATCATCGCAGGCAGGACAGATTATGTGGAATTCATCCTTCCTTGCGTTAGCCTCGATTTTTATATTCGTCTTCATTGATTCCACTTCTTGTTCAGAACAGTCATGAATCTTTCTCAAATGGTCGTACACATTTCTCCTTAGCATGACCTTGCCGCATAAAGGACAACAGAGGCGTTCTTCATTCCCTGGCGACATGTCTGCAATATTAAGGCCGCATTTTGATGTTTCTGAGGCTCACAATTTGCTTCTATACTACTAATCTAGCAAAAATTGATTGAAATTGAAAGAGATTATGGCAATGAATATTCAACCCAAATTTAGCTTTGGTATTTGTACCAACCAGTTGGGCTGCGCACGATACCGAGCGCGAGAGACGGCTGCGGTGAGTAGATGACTTGTGGGGGATGATACTGACCCGAGTTGCGCAATACATATGCAATCATACATGAACGTATAGAATTTTGGTTGCTGCGACCTCACCCAGTGAATAGTGTGAGAGGTGACCAATTCCGACCCCCTAGGGGAAAACCTATGTATAGTATATAATCCGTATCGGTTGATAGCTCAGAAGTTTTCAAAAACAACACTTATGGCAATCAAATCCCGAGCCCCATACTTTTTCGGCTTTTCGAGCCGTCTTAGACCCCGCCAGACTGAGCAATGCTCAGCCAGCTGAAGGGTATTTCATGCACAGAATGAATAGTTTTTTTTCTATCATTCTCTTTTTGCTTTGTGCACATGATGATACAGTCACGAATTTTTTTGTCAAGCATCTTCCCATGTTTGTAGGCCTTCTCGGGTTGCCTTACTTTCATGTATTTGAGAATCTGGAACATGGCAGAAGTGTTACTGATGGGAGTGGTTTGGGTTTTGGGAGTCTCTAGGTATAACGTGAAAGGGAGGAGAAAGAGGGTGGAAAAATGGGAGAAGTTAAGACAATTGATTGTTTTTCTCGTTTCAAGGATTATTTAATACCGCCATAGCAGCTTCTGATGATTTCTGGCGAAAGAAGTTATCAAGCGTGAAAATTCCAATTTCGAGGAATTTCCCGTTTCGTGGAAGTTGAGTGGGGGTCTTAGAATCAAATACTATAGAAACTGTGAACATGAAGATGACGTCGGGGAATGGGATATGTCAAGTCTTTGTAATTCTGCTCTGCCTCATTTGCTCATACTCTACCCATTCCAAACTTGACCCGCCCTCCCTAGGTGATTTTTGAAGGAAGAATTATAAACATGTGGGGGACACTTGCGAATTTTTGGGGAGCGGTCAGACTCTGGTTCATATATTAGTATGATAGAAGAATTGACCAACTTTTAAAAAAAGTTGTTGAAATTTTGCAAGCAATTACGTAACAACCCAATAAATGATACTTTCCTTATTGCGGTGCTTTTTTTGAACTGTGTTTCTTATTGTTGTTTTTGTGATACTGTTAATACTGCATTATTATTGTATTACTGTTTCTTTCTCAAAGCTGCAAACAATAAAAACAGCAAACAAGAAAAGGTTAGAACAAAAACTAAAGCATAATTTTCACTGAAAAAATACCCTTTGGAAAAAAACATCAAACAAACAATGAGAATGGAGCTGTTATTTTCTACACCACGTCTGTTTTTGATTGCGCACCGCACGCATCCACCGCAATTTTACGCCCAGTCTGAATACTAGAGAGGGAATCGTGTGGATGAGGTAACAGTAAACCGCAACGTAAGAGTTCAATGTGTAGCATCGTTGATTGTGTATAGTAACACGAATGACATGTAACACATCGCATATCTTTCGAAGGAATCTCGATAACAAATATGTGTGGATTCTTTGTTCAAGTTTATTTTTTGCTCCTCACCACCCCTAATAAGCGCATTGTGTATAAGGTAGTGGACACGGGGGGGGGGAGTCACAATCGTGAAACTGCCCTCGACTTACGTCGATGACAGCATAGCAAACCAGTTAACAAGACTGCCTTATGACGAGTTGTGAGGACTCGATGCCATCACATCCAGGAATAAAACATCGGAGTACAAACACATACACACGCAGATCCGATCTTATTTCCCATCGCTTGCAGTACGCGGTCACATACAGCCACGGTGTAGAAAACAATCACGCCCAGAAAAAATATTCACAACTCACCAGAGATTGAACGAAACCCACGAAAACTGAAGAAATGAAATGCCAAACTAAGTAAAAGTACGTAAATCGCACTCACGTGCAGTCTTTGGAGCGTCAAACAAACTTCGACTTTTTCGACAGAACAGAGTGCACTTTTGTGGACTTGAAATTGAAGAACTTGTCCTTAATTAAAATAGTTCATTCCAAAACAAAGAAATCATGATACTTAATGATAAGTATAACAACAAGCTAATTTAGTCAGAAAGCATGAAACAAGAAGATTCAATCGTCCTCATTGTACAGATATTAAAGGGTGACGAAAACCGACAGACTAACATTAGCTTATTGGAAGCAACGAAAATCTCATGCCTTCCGAACACTGCACCGCTCATGTTTTACATTTACGCTACTAAAAGGTTTTTCCATTCTATTGAGATTTACTAAAAATTCGAAGGTGACTAAGGGCGCAATGTGGCTCGGAGGGGGCCAGTCGCCGCGCGCGGCGTTGCGGCAACAGTAAATTCTGGAACGTTCGAGTTACACTACATCGCTGAGCCGCGCGCGGCGACTGGCCCCCTCCGAACCACATTGCGCCCTTAGTCACCTTCGAATTTTTAGTAAATCTCAATAGAATGGAAAAACCCTCTACCGCTCTGATACTGACCTTGTCTCCACCATGGCTTACACTTGAAGATGGTACCGGATGTCCTCTCGAGGGTAATTCATACCCACTAATCATCGACATAGGTTCACTGCAAATAAACAAATTATAATATAATTTTAAATTATAATATAATATAACAAATTATAATATAACAATAAATATAAAATATTTAGGCCAGCTGCAACTTAGCACGCGGGCGCGGGTTACGGTACTGTGCGGTCCCACAGCGAATTTCGCAGACGCCGCCAGATTTTTACGTAGCATCCTGCTTTCGAGCTGTTATGAAGAATTATGTAGTGGATATTGGTCAACATCATACTACAGCGCATAGAGTAGCCGTCAAAAGTTTGGAAACTTTTTAAATTTCGATCTAGCAAAGTCAATAAACAACAAAATTGCCTCAAATTTCTAAGGCAAGTCTAGAATACTGTAGGTATTATAGTTCTTCAAAATCGGAAAAGGTAATCAGAAAGTACGATCCATGTGAAGGAAATCGCGCGTCAAAAAATTGGGAACTTTTTGTTTCCCTTACCATTATAATTCCTACTTCTCAGTGTTTAAATATTTTTTCAATTTTACTTTAATTATTGAGTATTGTACACTTTTTAGAATAATTTATGTAACAAATTCCTATCTCATACGAAGGTTTTTAACCGCTCTCAGTCTCGCATAAAGTAAAGGATAAAGCATTTGCCGCTGATCAATCCCTTTTTTGGGATGCGGCACGCTTTCTGTTGTGGAAATGAAGATTGTTTATGATCTTGTATTATCACTGACCTCGAGGTGTATATAAACACCTCGACTAAGTGAGGTTCAGTTTATTTCCTGCAATAAATCTTCTAACAAGAACTGGTCGTAACAACTGGCGATCAGGCTCAAGGACTCATGGGCTGTAGAGTTTTACACTCCTCTCTTCTCCCCTCCCCCTTCCAGTGACGAGTGTTGCCAAGCGTAGCCATCTCACGGCTACAGACGGCACGGGTAAATGTTCGTTGTTGCAACGCGTACAGTGGCCCCCTTGCAGTGATTAATATGCCGGAGCAGAAGTGAAAATAGTTCTTTTCAAATGGGCACAACGTTTCCAATAAAACTCGTCGCAAAAAAGATTAGCAATTTCCCAGCTAGTATCTTATATAAAGCACTGAACTTGTTCAAGTGAAGATAACTCTCACGCCGAAGTCCCTGAGATCTGGGTTTTATACTTTCAGTAGGCATAGCATTGTTCAAAGTCAAAGAGATGGGGACCCATTGGATTTTTTGCTGATTTTTATGAGTTACCAAAAAATTCAGCAAAAGTTTATATCAAAAATGTATAGTTGAAGATTTTTTGCTCCATTTCGGAGAGCTATTCATGAAGCCATAATCATTTAAATGATAAAAGAAACAAATTTTCGAGTAGTTTCGCACCAATGTACGGATAGCATAGGCTCGAAGTTCACATACATGTTTCTTTTCCAAAACAATAAACGTTTTTACAAGGTTCGAGACCTGCTGATAAGGCTCATACAGAAAATTTGCTTCATGTAGTTAGGGTACCCCTTCATGCAGCTTCATACAGCCCTTTCAGGAATTCCTTGAAGGGCAATATAATGCTGGATGATGTCTAGCCGAATCGCATTTTCCACACCCGGAACAATATCCAAAGCTATAGCAATGTTCGAACTTGTTTAGGGAGGGGGTGGCATGCAGTGAGAGTCGCGGTTTCCATTTTCTCGAAAGCATGCTATCGTGTTATGTTCAGCATATTAACTTTCAATTCATACTCTCGTTCGCGTGACGAAATTTAAAAGCACATCTCACTAGTATGAAGTGAATGAAGCGGCAGTAGGGATAATAACTCCCACGCAGCTATCGTGTTATGTTGAGCATACTATCGTTCAATTCAAACACTCTTTCGCGTGACGAAATTAAACATGCCTCACTAGTATCAAATGCACGAAAGAGGCTTCAGGAATAACGACTCCCACGCAAGCCCTTCGGAAGCCCCTTCAGGACACAGCCCTCTGTAGCGTTTATAAAGAAAATTAAATATTTCCAAAGAATTGCATTGTCCGATGTCCTGTAAGTACTATCAATCACTGATATGCATTTTACTTCCAGGGATTTATTGAGTGCACCATTAGGATTAGTGAAGCTGGTTGTGGGAGTATTCGCGTGATCGTTTCCGACGTGGTTGTATTTCTTTTCTTATTCGGTTGCATTCTTGTTATAATTTTCAATATTATTTTACACATTTTATCACAGGCAAGAATACCCTCTATCATAAAAGTCACTGTACTGTCCGAAGGATGTCTCCTCGGAAAGCAAGTTGTTTGGAGGCCCTCGCTATCAAACTACTGTTTACAGAAAAAACAACAGGGAAAAACTCATGAAACTGATAAGTTAACGGTGCATACAACGCGGTGCAGAGTCATAAGGCACC